TCTAATGTCTTCGGAGTTCCACAATAAAGGAACAATTAAATCCCAAGGATTTAAAGGGAACTTTTAGGCCTCTTTTTATACATACCAGAAAGACAATATACATTCAGGACATTTTCAATGGTAATGAAGGTACCATACCTGTGATGGTGGTAAGGATGGTGGTGGTGGTGGTGGTGGTGGTGGTGGTTGTTGTGGGAGGAGGGATAGTTGTGGGGGGATCTGGATAAAAAAAAAAAGGAAAATCAAACCCACAATGCTGAACACAACAATGATCAGTAATGACAAAACAAAGGCATGAGGACACTGAGATGTTTGTTTGATGACTTCCTCCTTTAAACCCAAAAGTTCTTTCCCTCCAAAGATTTACGTCTTATAATTACATCCCAAAGCCTTAGTTGTAAGAGCTAAGACAAGAAGAAAAGAGATTTTTTATTAATGAAATGAATTAGGGATAAGGAGATGGGAGGTAAAGAAGGGAGGAAAAACCAAAACATAGGACACTCCCCACCCCAACCAGATTTCAAAGGTGAAGTTAAATCAACTCAGCACCAAGAAGGCACAATGGTTGTCATTTCATTTATACTTTGAGAGATGGGAGGAAGGGGGAGGAGATGGCACTGCTCTATTTAAAGGGCTCCTATCAGCCAAGGATGAGTGTGCCCTGCACACTTGCTCTCTGTGACTGTTAACTTCATTATTCTCCATCAATATAGCCCAGCAGGAAGCAAAACTACTTCTATACTTGTAATAAACACAAAGAAGAGAGAATGTCACCACTAAATATCAAGTTCCAGGCATGTGAGATTTTGCCGAGATTTTATTTTTTAAAAGTCAATAAATTTTACAACTTATAAATATTAATAAGTTGCCTTTGCTCATGTTAAAAGCTTGACCTAAGTGGACTACAATGATAAAACTGAAAGAATGTTTTCCATCTTGTAAACAAGAGAACTGAATACAAAGGAGGCTCAACCCTCAAAGCCAGGAACATGGTGGGGAACCCTCTGTCAGATATTTGATACACTGTATATTCTTCTATCATCTCAAAAATTATTTAGGGATAAGGGAAGGGCAAATATGAAAGAGAAAAAAAAATTCTAAGCCCAAATGATCAAACTGAATGTGTTAAATTGTCAGCAAGACTTTGAACTCAGCAATCATTCTGCTATAATAGAGCATAAGACGATTTGAAGGCTTTTGATTTTAAATTTTATCTAAAGCACATCAACTTTTTCTCCCTGACACATCTGGTGTCCTTTTATCTTGAAGTGAGCTCTCAGATTGTCTAATTAATACATCAAAACTTTAATTATATACTGCACCTTTATTGGGTCTGGCACAACTTCCTGAAAGTTATGAAAACATTATTTTGGTGCTTGGTTGCAAGGTTTGCTTAAAATGATTCCCACCATCAATCGATAATCCAAGGTTTTAATTTTCCTCACAAACTGCTTCTTTCACACAAATATACAAATTTGTTAGAGAGGAATCAACAACAAATAGTTCTGTTTTATGGGAGACTCTGCTCCTGTAAGTTGGGGACACATGCAGTTTAAACTATTGTTAAAGCAGCCTCACATGAATCCAAAAAGGATTCCATTAAAAAAAAATCTCATTCTCCTCCAAGAGGTAGAAATGATTAAATTAGTAATTTTAAACTTCCTTTGTGAAAGGAGAAGAGGATGAGAAATACTGTAATTCAGGTAGTATGTTCAGTCTTGCTTCTTGGCACTTTTTATGGAGGCCACAGGCGGGGAAGCATTCTGTGACAACTCGTTTGGATGCACCTCCACCTGCTGCAGGGGCCGGTGCAGATACAGGTGGACCGAGTGCACTGACCCCTGAGCCCAGCATTGAAGATATCCCGCTGCCTCCTCTACACAACGGAACTGTATCCAGAGAGACACCTGCCACCCAGCCTGGGGTCAGTTAATGTGGTTTTTCTGTTTTGCTTGAATTACAATATTTACCACTGAAAAGAGACATTTATTCCTGGGAATCTTCCCCTGATATACTATAATCCAGTTTCTCTACCTATTTCTAAAAGTATTAGCACTAAGTGTGTGATATGCACAATACAATAAAAGCAGATCTGAAGGTGATCTGAACACATGATTATGAATCAAGGGGTGGGCCAGACGAAGGAAGGCAGACTTCAGAGAAAGGTCACCAGTCTCTCTCATTTTGTGAAAAGCATACACTTTAATTATCTTCATCACTACTGGGGGAGCTGGTAACTGTTGTCCTTCACATCTGGCTCAAGTGACCTGAATGAATTAGATTCCATTAACAGGTAAACCTCCATGCTTAGATCATTTCTGGCAATAAGAGCAATGTGAGGCCACTGTTTAAGAAAATATAGAGTTGGTGCTAATGAGCTGCATTTGACACGTACAGGTTAAAAGAACAAAACCAAGTGGGGCTAAGGCACTAACCAGCTAGATTCTTCAAAGCACAAAAGTTACTTCCACAGAATTAAACATATTAGGGCCATGTCAACTTTTAGTTCATAAAGTGCTTCAAAAATTACTGTAGTAGTACAATAAATCAGCTTTGAAAAGAAAATCTACCTACCACTTTCCCAAATTGCTAGAATATTTTATTAATAGACTAGCAATGCCTCAGGTTAGTATTCTAGCCTGTCATTCCCAGTACTGCTACTGGCACAGATTAAGAGAGGTAGGTAGTATATTGTAGATCTATCGAACTCCTAGACAAGGATAGGGGTACTACGTTGGGTTAGGGAGACACGTGTACGTAGCTATGTTTGTCTAAACAGGTGTATCTTGGCTTTCAAATAATGCACTCTGGCCCAGATAGTTAATTCCAAAAGGACAGTCATATATTGGAGGGAACTGTTCTTTTGGAAAGCAGTGAGAATAACAGGAATTGTAAGAAAGACAAATTTTGGTGTGGACTTTAGAGTGAAAGTGTCATGGCTCTAAAGCATATTTTTTGGACCTTTTGAACTTGGGCAAAGTCATATGACTTTTCTAAGCTTCATTTCATCACCTGTAAAATGAGATGATGATAATGCTTACCTCATGGTATTATTGTGGAGGTTAGATGAGATTACATGAGAAAAATTGTCAACACTGGGCGTGGAACAAAGTGAACACTCAGTCAATGCCAGCTATAAGCTACTATCCCGAATTATTCAAATACATCTGTCCATCAAATCTACAAAATGTTTCTCATCTGGAGATGTGGGAACAGTAGGTACAATAAATCAAAACTGTTCCTCCAGATAACTTAGTCTTCTGAGTATAATAGACTGGTGGAAATTTGTCAATGCTTTTTAAAATCTTGTTTGTAAAAAGGACTGGACTGAAAGTCTGTAAACCTGGGCAACAGCAATGTAGGGGACTCCCGTGAGGCTCAAATCCTGGTGAGAAGGGAGCAGAAGCTACAGGGACGAACCTGCCTTACACCCCTGCTGAGTGGCAGAGGAACAGAGGTGGCTCTGCATGTCGCCAACTGAAAATGGGCATCCTACATGGAAGAGCTGTTTCCTTCACGTGAACTTCCTCAACTACTGGGGAGAATTAGTGTTATTATGTGTGGACCACAGACAACATAGGTAGTGTGCCAAAAAAACATGCTTCAGAAGTCTACAAATAAGGTGATCAGACATTATCTTTTAATTTTGTATTATGCTAAGAAAAGAAAAACCTCAGGTAGGGGCTAAGGATTATATTTCAACATCCAGGTAGATATGGTGTAAAGTATGCTTCCGTTTGATTAAGAGTACCGCTCCTATTTTCTTCATAAGGAAAGTACCCAGGTTGTAAGACATTGTGGTGTAAATATTCCATATGTATAATTTATGTGTCTATGTATACATATTCATATATACAAGCACAGTACTTATACAGTCATGCACTGCATAAGGAGACGGTGTGGTCAATGACAGACTGCATATACGACAGTGGTCTCTTAAGTTTGTAATGGCTGTACCATATAGCCTAGGTCTGTAGTAGGCTATACCACCTAGTTTGTTAAAGTATGCTGTACGACAGTCACATCATGACGAAATCGCCTAACAACACATTTCTCTGAATGTGTCCCCATCATTAAACAATGTGTGACTGTACTTGGATTATTTATACTGCTAACATGAAGAGAAAAATGCCCCTGCTCCCATTCAAATAATTATAACATACTGAAATTTTGACACCTCTGATTATTCATTGTGCATCATGTAAATTTATGACTATTTTCTTAGTATAAAACCAACCAAGAGACTTCAATTGGACAGAAGAGACTCAATGTGATATCCTAAGACTAGAGCGGGCGTGCACTTAACTGAACAAGGAATATTCACCATACAAAAATCGACAATAAGATATAAATGGAAAATAACTTTAAAAATGCCTGGCACATAGTAGATGTTCAATAAATATTTATTGATTAGAGAATGAAATTCTTAATATGCTTTAATAACCCTGTAAAAAGATACTGATTAAGAAAACAGAAAAAATTTTAAAAATAGCATTCATGTCCAAAGCAGTATAGGTGGTTTATGTAGCTACCAAGGACGTTGTTCTGAATATTTAGTAGCTTGCTATATCTTCTGGAATTTAACAGCTTCATGCTGAAAATAGGATAGTTCTGCTCATCAAAGCAGGAGAAAGGCTAGGCCAAGTATCATAGGAAAATACCACTGGGTTGAAAAGTCACTAATTGGTAAGGCTGCATTTTTCAGTCATTACTTCTAATATAATCTCCATGGCTTGTGCCTGAAGACACAGCTTTTCCTACTCAGCATGACCAGAGACTATGATCTAGTGGGAAATCCCCACAATTAGAGGGAGAGAAGAAAAGGCACTGCCATCCCAGGTGGAGATACTGGGGTCCACCTCAGGCCAGACTTCTTTAAGTTCTTGAAGGAAATCAACTGGTTTTGGTTTTCAACTTAGCTGAAAGCTTTGGGAATGAATCACAAGTAGCAGCTACATGTGAACGAGTCTAGTAGAAGAGTGTTTTATCTTCTCACGTACCGTATACATACAGCATATAATCCGAATGAGCTTTCCCCACTATGTTTGAAGCCTCACAGCGGTATGTACCATTATCTGTTTTGTTTAGGTTATTGATGAACAGGTTGGGCCCAGACAGGACGGCGTGCTGAGGCATTTCATCATCGACTCTCACCCAAGTTACCATTACAGGCCTGCAGAGGAAATGGGAGAAAGACAAGTCAAATTATTATTTCCCACTAAGATGTCTACATCAAACTTCTCACCCATGCATTAAATGAATCACATGCAGGGTGACACAATTAAAGAGGGACCTACTGCAGATATTTTAGGTTCACAGAATTACAACTGTGAAGTCTCCGAAAATCTGTTTGGATTATAATTTATTTTTTAAACATGATCAGGTGTTGAAAAACTTTCAACAGATCACAGGCAGGAGTCTCATTATTTCTAATTCATCTTCAACAAATCAGCAAATAAACCAATGCGCCCTCATTTCTGTGCCCTGCTGTGTGGTTTCACACCAATTCAGACAGGATACAGCTCACCCATTGTTAATCATCTCATTAATTAGGGAAAAAAAATCCAAGTTATTGGCTAGTGATACATGCTTTAATCTGATAGTTACTAACACACCAAGACTTGCTTTGAAACCACTTGTGATATTTAAAGGGATTTTTAATTTCACCAAAAGGAATGAACATTCCCATCTGAATGGCACTTTCGTTTGGCCTCTGCTGTTTTAAAAATCACCTGTGATTTTGGAAAGTTGCAATCACTTCCTGTCCCACTAACTCCTCCCTATAACCTGCCTCTCCCCACCCAAGATGCCACCACTCTCTCAGATGCTCCAGTCCACCTTGTCTATCTGCTTCTTGGCAAATCCTTTCTTTCCTGGCTCTCCAAGGCCCACACATTGTGAGACCTTTCCCTGGTGTGCACCTGCAGTCCTCCAAGCTCGAGGGGAGGGCTCTCAGGTTAATCACCGCACAGCGCATCTCCACATGGGTTCCTTAGGTCATATGGCACTTGCTCATCAGACACAAGTTTGTTTTAGTAATTTAAAGTAACACATTTGTATCTATTAGGAAAGAGCAAATTTCACAAGATGCTCCAGAGCCAAAAATGCACATACACTGAGTATCTTTCAAACTCATTGAATTTAAAACTTCCATTCTTCAAGGCATCTCCCTCAACCTCCTATGAAATCGAGGCCACATCTAGGACTGAACCTGAAAACTTTTGTTTTAAAGGAAACGCAGCAGAGACTCAAGTACAAAAGCAAACGTCCTTTCAGTTCCTACTGTTAGCTACCTCTAGGAGCAGTGTCAGGACAGGAGACCCATGCCTAATGATGAATGGATACTCAAGTTAGCCCTGTCAAGTAGCATTCCAATGATCAAATGGGATGTGAAGTTACAATTTTTCTTTAATTACACATGGGTTTGTCATCACAACCCAGTAAATTATTTAAAAATTAGTACTGCATATGTCCTCCTCATAGGCAATGGCAAATGCGTCCGCCTGGCAATCAGACCTAATGTCCTGCTGCTTGACAGCTGAAACAATCAGTGGGGGTAAGTGCTGAGAATATTCACAACATTTAATGGCAAGTTAAATTACCATTTTTATTGTATGCAATTTCTTGAGAAAATAAATAGGTAATGTGCTAGAAGGGATAGCAGCAGAGTAAAGCATGCTTGCTCACACAGCCATAGAAACCCTTTCCTATTTGAGAGGAACAAAACAAATACCCTCTCTGGCATAAATGTCCTGAAGGAAACATGTAATTTACTGTCCCCAAGGTACATTCAATTGAACACAGTACCTTCTTCAGGGGAAAAAAATACAGAAACAAAATACAGGTTAGCAAGCGTGTACTGTAAATGTGGTTAATGTGGCTGAATATAGGTATTCTAAGTGGCCAGAGGGCTCTGAGAATTTTTTTTTTTCTCCATTGGACTGTTCTGAAGGTAAGGTAAACTGCTAATTAGGGCATAATTTAAATGGATGACAAAAAGAAAAAGACCTTTTTGCCAAGCTGGAAGCATTCAAAACCAAATGACTTGGGAACACTAGAGGGAAAGCTAAACAGAACCAAGACCACCTTCCGCCTCCTAAAGGTCATCTTTAAAACTCCAAGTGGTGAGCACAAAAAGAAGGAAATTCTAGCCCATGGAGAGGTAGTAAGCACAAAAATAAGGAGGGCTGAAATGAAAAGAGAAAACCGACAGCAGCCAAGTCCCCTTTGGCGCTCCGGTCTCTTGTCAAAGATCATCCCTTAGCTATAATAATGAGAATTCTTTCCAAAAAGTTTTGGGGAAGCTTTGTTAAGATGTTGTGAGTTCTTTATATGAAAACTGATGATGTTGGTTAGCAAAAGTCTGTGAGGAGAAAAAAAAAAATCATACCACAGGGACAGCAGAGGGAGCTCAATGCTGTTTTTTTGTTGGGTACCACTAAAAGTTTGTGTGCCCTGAATCCCAACATTGACCTGTTCTTCCATTTCATGATTCGATGGATTTTTTTTCCCCCTAAGAAACAGTTAAAAACAATCTTTACTCTCTAAGAGAGATGAAAGAAAGACCCCCTGTAATCCCAACATTGACCTGTTCTTCCATTTCATGATTCGATGGATTTTTTTTTTCCCCTAAGAAACAGTTAAAAACAATCTTTACTCTCTAAGAGAGATGAAAGAAAGACCCCCTGTCCTCAAGGTAAACTGAATAAAATTTAAAGTGGTATCACCACATGGCTTTTTTGCTGTGTTAGTGACGACATAAAACAGTTCCTGTAATTCACTTTAGATCTTTTTTCAAGCAAACTATTTTATTACAGTTCAGTGTCAAAATTTATCTAAGAATTTGACATATCAGTTTCCAAAGGAATTTTGATTCTGAAATGATAACTTACAAGTCTTTTCTTCTTTTTCTCTTACACAATGGCATATGAGGGCACTTCAAAGAGTTTGTGGAAAAATAGAATTAAAAGATGATATGAATCTTTCCAAGAACTTTTTGAAGACCCCTTGTATATCCTCTTTAAGTTTTTGAAACTTTCCCTAATAACACATATATTTCTGGGAGTCAAGTATGATACTTTTCTTTGAGGGAAGGAGACGCAAAATTAAAGTTAGGGCAAATTCATTTCCTACAGCTGGCCCTAAACATAGCAGCTTAAGTCTGAAAACCATCTTTCCAGCAGCTTAGCATTAACACAGAGGGTAGCAGGTACATCATTAGATTGTGGGCACACTAAAAACTTATTAGGATTATTTTTTGAGTGTGAGAGAAAATACTCCTGACAATCATGTTGATGATAATACAATACAATTAGCTGAGATTTCAATCTTAGCTGGCATTTAATTCTTCACCCAATCCTGATCATTAAGAACCACAGATATTTATCCCCCCTCTCACTGAATATTCTTTATTTCCTGAAAAATCTTCCATCCTTTACAGCAGGAGACAGGTGACAGGCCAATGAGTTGTGAAAGCACATCTCTGTGTTGTGACATTTATTGCTCATGACCCTCTGTCAACCTTGGCCTTCAGAACTTACTGGGGCTTCCCGATGGCTTCGCATGTTAACTCAAGCGCGTCCCCTTCCCGGGTTAGGCCTTGTAGAGGATAAGTCATCTGAATATGCACTTGAGGCTTATCTGTGTGACAACAACACAAAGTAGAATGTTTAGCAAATGATATCATCAGGCAAAATCAGACCTGCATGCTGCCACAAACCCCACACTACCAGCACTTACTCTCTCCCCATCCGCATGCCTTCAGTAACATCCTTCTAATTAGTTAGTAATCCTGGCATTTGCTCAAATTAAATTGACTAATAACTCTAAGGAGTGAACCGCGAATAGATAAGAGATTCATAAGCCAACTGCGCCACATCAAACATTTCCTGTGAAATACATTTTGTTACATTGAAGTTTATCTCCAAACTCACTCAAGCTAAAGGAAACTCATTTGCCTTCATGCTGAGGTGAAGCCACAGATATTTGTGGTGCTCAGAATTGATACATTTTATCATATATCACATATTACTATGTGACGATATGTTGTGACACTGCATATTAATAAGTTTGCCTCTTCTCTGCTCTTATTTTCACATGGGAAAGGCAGAACATCTGAATTCCACTCAAATGTCTTTAAGAAGAAAGAACCAGGAGGTTTTGGTAGTCCCCAAAGATGCCAACATCACAGTGTAAACATACAAGGAAGGAAACTGATGTTTATTCAAAACTTCCCATCATAGGAACCACCACTGGTGGTGGAATAAGCCCAGTTTTAAACATGAGAACTCTGGTACCCATGGAACAGAGTAGCTTGTCCAAGGTCATAGAGATAACCTAATGAGAGACAACCCCGTGGAATGTATATCAGGATGGATTTCTAATTCAAAACTACATTGCCCAATGGCAATCCATAATTAAATCTAAGTACAGTTTCCTAATTCAGTGAAAGTACTTAGGCAAATGATGTAAGTATTCCTATTTCTACAAGGTACTGAAAACTGTTTGTGAGTGTGGGGGTAGGGGTATGACCGATGAATGATGAGAGGTGCAAAGAACAGGGAGAGAAATTGAAGAAGTTGGAATTAACATGTATATACATACAAATACATTTACAAATAGAACCAGAATGGAATCAGGAGACTTTTTTCTATGCTGAACTAATAAGCTATTAATCCCTACATCAGTTTTCTCACTTAATTCTATGGGCTCTGTAAATGTACATTTTTTGGAAACGTACCCAAGAGTAATAAATGTGAGAGGGCAAGACATAAGTTGGCTGAAAGGTCAAAACAATTACAATAGTTTTACTTTCTCAGACAATCACGCCACCTAAACAGCAGCCCCTTGGCCTTTTACAAGCGGTGGTTAGCTCATTAACATCCATCCTGTGGAATAGGGGAGATGATAGAAATATGGCAGGGCTCAACCAACCTCACTCCATACATAGGTAGATAAGCTGCACAACGAGGTCCTCTCGAGGGATCGCTGCTTTCCACATGTATATTTGTAGTCTCGTTCCTATCACAGATCTTTCTCCCATGTCTCTGAACACCATGTGGTATTCAAAACCTTCTAAGAGAGCCTCCTTGAACACCCACCAGTGTGTACGGCACGCTGCAAATTGGTAGTGCTTTCTGAGAAGCTAAGTCACTTGCCAGAGAACATAAAGTTAACAAGCCCCAAAGCTCCAGCTGACCCTTGCAAGTAACACAGTTCTATTCTTGAACTTGTTGGCAATGAAAATGTTTAAGAAGCAAGAGCTCCTGGGCATTCCATTTTAGAGAAAGGCCATATCCTAAGCTAAACACAACCACTGGGTAACATATGTAGTCTATTGTTTTTGGTGGTGTAACACACACACACACACACACACACACACACACACACACAGCTAGTTGGTGACGTTTACTTAAAAAAAATGCAAAAAAATAATGGGAGAAGGCCCTGACATTGAACACACAGGTCTCAAAAGACCAGTTATCTAACAGTTCACACCCTCAACAGCAGCACTTACGGAACTCTTGGTTAGGGAACACCATTATTCTTACCCATGAGCCATTGTGGGTGAACCTAAATTTAAAGCTCAAAATTTGGACTGAAATGTAACATTTGCTTATAGGTTAACCTCTGATCCACAAAAGGGCTACATTTTTCATGCACTGCTGACTTTGGCCCATTAATTAAGGAGAAGTAGAATGCTTGCTGGCCTATGTGGAAGGTTTTTGTTTTTCGTTTTTTTATCTCCTTGATGTAATTTATAAGCAAACAGGGAGGGCATATTTTTCAGCACAGTGCACTAAGGGTTTTACATGCTCAGTTCCATTAATAAGAGTGTTGAAAAATCTAATCTTTCCTGCCTCTTCTGTACTACTGAGTTTGTTTTAGTTAAATGCCTTTTTATGTTCCTAATGAGCTGTTTACCAGTTGTCAATTACTCACATAAATTAGGAAGAACAAGCTAAGGACTTGCTATACCTGGAATTTATGAAAAAATTATATACTAAGCCACAGAAAATATACTTATAGTTTTAATAACTGATTTTCCCAATTTACTCTTTGGGTTACTGGAGAAACATCTACCACCTACTTATAGAGCTGCCGTAGTTGCCTTAATAACTTCCTGAAAAGATAATAATCTTGCTTGTATTATACAAAAAAAAATGTTCTCCTCTACTGACATATGCAGTATTTATAGGCATATCATCTGACCATGGGTAGCTGAGCTATCTTCACACCCAGCCTAGGAAACAAATAGAAGGTTTAGGTGCCAAGGGCCATCCCTGGGTGAACAAATTCTGTTTCCCTTTGTTTGTCCCGAAAGAGGAACTGAAGTATTCTCTAGCCCCTACAATATGGCTATCTAAATTGTTGGGAGAGAACAGCTTTGTAACTAATGGAGGGCAATGTCTAGCAATACAAGGTGATTGGGACTGGTTAGAGTACAGAGTCACACAGAGCTCTCAGAGGAGTTAAAGAGAACATCTTAACAGCTTTGCTTTCTATTGTCATGATACCTTCATGAATAATTTTCACTGCCGTTTATTTTGTTTGTTTCCAAGGTGAAGGACCTCCTGCTGTTAAGTCTGTTGTATGAATCTTAGCACTTAAGCTTCCCTTCTTGAGGAGGGCTGAACTACTATGAATGGGATGAGTCAAATCTGGTGGGACTAATGTGGGACCAAAGAGCACGGGCCACATTACCACAGCAGAATGCAAGTAGTTTTGTATATGTTAAAATTACTGTCTACTCAGCAGAATCAAATTTTATTCTGCAATGTTGTCACAGAAAGTTATGTTCCCAATGCTTTTTAAATGGGGTATGTACTCACAGAACACTCTTCTGTATCTTTGAAGAAATCTTCAAAATTTGAAAGCAAGCATTGGGCAAGAAAATCCTTATATCAAATTTTCTGCACAGAAACGTTGTCACTGGGAAAAAAGATTTATTTATTTATTTATTAATATTCCTGGTAACTGGAACAATGCCAGGGCCTGGAACAAGAGTAGACATTCAATATATATTTGCTGAATGAATGAAGAATTGAGTGAATGAGAAAGTGAAGAAATATTGGGGCAAGGACTTCTACTCCTAGCTCTACTACTGATTTTAAAAAAAAAAATCAGGTCATGAATCCACTTTAGCCTTCATCACAAAAGATGATTGTGTTTTTCTTTTGGAAGGTCAATCTGGCTCCTGAAATTTGAGGTTCAGCCCAGGTTTATGTATTTCCATTTCACTACACATTTAGTTAGCACTTCTGGTGTATTTCAAAGTGGTAACTTAAGGGAAATCATAAAGGATGACTTTTTGTTTTGTTTTATTCTAGTCCTTTTCATGCACATAGATCTTATCCTGACCTTTTCCTTCTTTCTCCCTGTGATTGCCTATCTTTAAATAAAATCTTCATGTATATAATGGTTTGATACTGTCTCTTTCACTTAAAATTTTATAGTGAACATTTTCCCATATCATTCCAAATATTTGGAAAAGATCACATAAAATAGCTGTAAATCTCACTATCTGATTTATGTACCATAATGTATTTATCATTCCCATATTATTGCACATTTATAAACATTTCTCATTTTTTAATAAAAGGATGTTTGATCACTCTTCTTAGATTTTTAGTTGCCAACTTCATAAACGTTTAACCTTCCACAGAATCAAAATCTGACCTTCAGTTAAAAACCATCAAGTCAAGAGTGTACATTAGAAGACTAGTTTCACTATGAAAGTATTAGATGTCCACAACCACACAGACACATTTTTTACAGATACATTGGGTCAGTGAGATGAGGGGAAATGGTCCTTAGTAAAACAGACCTCTTTCTGCAGGGCTTGCCTTCAGAAGGCAGGGATAAAGGTAAAGCCCTTTTCCTTTAAGGCTCTTTCAAATCTTGCTCACAATATACTTGTATTTGCCCAAAACTCACTCTTTGTATTTTGAATATTGGTTACTCAGCCTGCTGCCCCCCTAGGGTAGTACCAATTGTATCACTAGCAATCCACAGTGCTTACAACATCGGGAACTTGGAAACATCACTACTTTGTGTTAAAACAAAAAAAAAAAAAACGGGTTAAAAAACTAGCTTCAATCAGGGGTTCTCCATGCCTTGATTATTTCTCATGAGAAATAATAAATACTGAAATAACCTCCCTGAAACTCAATTCATTGCTTTAAAAAAAAAAATAAAAGGGCAAGTGGGAGGAAGAGCATATTCTGTTAAAAAAGAGACTGGAGATCAGAGAGAAACAGGTGAAATCTGAAAACACCAGCTCTTATGCTCTGAAGAATACAACGTGGGAACAGAATTGATGGGGGAGAGCATGTGATATAGGAGTGCTTGTGAAAAAAAGTCTCATCCTCCACTTCTAACAGGAAAGATTCTCTGACTTCCATGTCTTTTACCTTCCTTCACTGCAGGTCACCATCGATACTAGAAAAACATTTATTTTGGCACAGATAAAGAACAGGTTTTAATCATCTCCTCAATGCCCAATTTTTCCCCAGTTGAGGAATGAAAGAAGAAATCTACCCTTCTCTGGACCTTGGACAAATAGGAATATGGATTTATAAAATACCTGGGTGCATCCAGTCAATAAAACTAATTTTGAAAATGATACCCACGTACACGGTTAACTGTCAGATGATAATCAGTGAGGGGAAGGCATTCGAACACCCATTTCTAGAGTCTTTGTCTTCATTCTCCCTTTCAAAACTCATCTGTTAAATTTTCTCTTTCTTTTTTACAAATACAACACACACACAAAGCCTTCACAAAATGAGGATTTTTGCAAAACATTTTAAAGAGCAAGGCTATAAGGGGTGAAAGCAAAAGACACACAGCGGTAATTCGAGAGCTGCGAATTTGCCTCTGTCCAGAGTAAAGCTGTCCTCCCTTTGCACAGCAATCTCAATTCCATACTGAGGGTCACAGCTTTTCTTTGAATCCCCAGCTTATGTCGCTATGTGTTGCCACCTTGATGCTATTAAGACAGTTTTCATTTAACGCTTTAGACAGTGAACTGTTCTCGTTTAAACAGGCTTCTATTTGACAAGAGTACATTCCCTCTGATGTGAAGCTCTACTAACCATGCTACAATGGTATCACGCTCTGCTATAATCATCCATGTTATAAATTTGGGCAACACCATCTATACAGACATTTGCAAGAAAAAAATGCACAGAAAGATTTTAGGGTCATATAGCCCAGAACATTCAAAAGCAAAACTGTTCTCCACACAACATCTAAGGAAAGAGATCTTTGAATTCCAGCTTGCGAGCATAATTATTTTCTGTTTTAAACATTTAACTGCGTGCTGCTGCTGTACCCTTGCTGAGTCTCAGAATGAAAGCTAGAAAACTAAGAGCCCTACTGTATGTTCTTCATTCCCAGCAACGTTCCTATGAGAAAACCTTATTAATGAGCTTGCAAACGAGCACCCAACAGGGAAATGTCACAAACAAGAGTGGCTAATGCCCCAGAAAATCAAATAACTGAACACTTGGCTGATTGTGGTGCCTTTCATATTTATAATAAAAAAGGGAGGGGGGCAGACTTTAATTCACTGGTTCTGAAGGGGTCAACACCTTGCTGAACAAAACAACTCATTTATTTATGTTCAGAAATCTCCAGATGATAAATTACATTGATGTTAATCACTTCAATGCATACTACACAATTAATATCTGTACTCACCAAAAACTTAAGGATTATTAAAATTATGACAGCATACACATCTGGCTGATTTTTCACATAATTGGGCACAATTTCTCCTGGTACCACAAATAAGGGTCCTAACAAACAAACACTGCGAAATTCTGTGTTCAATTAATTAGGACTTAAATACTCAAGACAAAAGCAATTCCAAGTTATAGTTCAAGCTTTGTCTACTATGCGATATGGTAGCACTCCATTTTAATGGAGACATGTAATCCTTCCCTTCTTTCTATTGCCCATCCTTTTTATCTCTATCATATTTAAAGTTAGATATTTAATGACCTATGACACAGGTTTTCATTATTTCATTTCCTTTTTAATATTATTATTTTTAAAAGGATATAATTTATACAGAATTCAAATCTATTATGTCATTTAATCCTGTTCATATCCTGGTTAACATTCATTCATCTTAGACAGGGTAGAGAGAGATTTCCATAAACCTTCATGGAGCAAAATAGGCCAGGGTTAAACCAAGTGAACATAATACCAATCATATCAGGTTAGATTCTCCCCCAAGGTAGTCTTATTCATTCTGAGTAGAATCTGAGGTCCATGTATTTCCTGGTGATAAGCTAATGTTTCTCACCGGTAGGATAAGAAATCTTTAGGGCTGGCTGGTTAGCTCAGTTGGCTAGAGCAAGGTATTATAACACCAAGGTCAAGGTCAAGGTCAAGGGTTCGGATCCCTGTACCAGCCAGCCACCAAAAAAAAAAAAAAACAGGAAAGGAAATTTTAAAAAGAATAGCTATACATTTGTTTTCATGTTTATTGAGCATAATACACATAACAGATAAAATTAATAATTTTATAGATATTTTTACATAGGTCCCAGTTAGTTTAAAGCAATAAAGTGACTTGCAGAAAAATTCTAAAGGTAAGAATACAGATGATCCATGAACATGGCGAAACTTCTGAAAGTGGCCCTCAAATAACTGAAGTTAGTTAAACCGTGAGGGGTAAATGGACTCCATAAATTATAAGCAAAATGTGTCGAATATATGATTTTATTCATCTTTTCCAGATCGATAGCTATCAAAGGATTTATAAAGAGGTCAATAATCCCCAAAAGATTAAGCACTGCTGACTTCAAGGGTTTGAGCCAATTTTAAAATATGGGTATAAAGTGCTCATAGGGCATCCGAAATAATACAACCTCCATGCAGATTGGCTACTGAACAAATTAATCTGAGGGACTTATGCATTTAAGTATCTCTTCTTTTCTCATGGCCATCAAGATACAGTGCTGCTTGGCTGCAGAGAAAGGCCTGCAATGGGGAAATGGAGTTGAGCCACCAGAACCACTGGCCAACAACTGATAGAATTTTAGCGCCCAGGGACTGAGTGCTTCAGGCACTCAGGCTTTGTGTTACTGCATAGCTGCTGCTGTTCAATGAGAGTGAGGCTGGTAGGAAATGACTTAGGTAATTGCAACCGTGTTTGAAGAAGCTACTTAAGGAATTCCTGGAAGACTTTACAAAGTTCTCAATAGTGCTCTTGCAACAGAGGATAGTGTGCTGTCTGGTTACTTTCTTGAGCACAGAGCCTTATTTAAGATTTCAAACCAGACCCTAAATTCCCATTCAGATTAATATAATGTTTTGTAATTTTTAACTTTCCTTTATACAAAAAGATTTTTTTCCTACGTATTCCAAAAAATGGAATGTCAGGGATAAAATGTTTGTGTGACTTATGTTGAATAAAAGAACAGAGAGACTCCCACAAAAAGCTGCCATGTTAGAGTTTAAATGATCAACAGATGTATCCTCACTTAGGAAGGCATCAGAGTCACTTTCCTGCAGTTAAGGGATAGCAGTACTTTGTTAGATTGAAGTCAAATAGATTCAGATATGAAGCCTTATTCTCTTTCTTGGAAGAACAAATCTCACTTGCAAATACAGAATGTAGAAGACAAGGCTTATAATAATCATTATCAAGTTATCCAAGGGGTAGGAGGTGTGGTGCTTTATATACTTTGCATTTGGGAGTGAGAGGAATTTTGTTGGTGAGTGGGGCTGTATTCTATTTAAGATACTCTGGGAAACTACTAAAAGAGTTTAGGGGTGGAAAATGGGTGAATATCTACTCAGGACTCACAAAGGAGCTAAAGTATTATTAAAGCTAATGGGCCCCTACAAGGAAAGTTAATGGATATTAAGTTTGCTTAAATGAATTACATATTAGCAAAGTCATAAGAAATCTACTATCTGCCAATTTAGATAATATCTGATCATTTCTGTTTTCCCATTATAGGGATATTACACCACAATAGTTTTAGTGATATGAAAATTATAAGCATGATGCCCATAATGAAGCTACATAATGAAGTAGATGAAATGAATTAACAAGAAAAACCTGCATTATGTAATGTTAAATTGAGCCAAGCTCACAGAGTAAGAAAAGGTTGAAATGGGATGGTCTCCTAGAAAAAAACTTTTTATAACTTTCTCTGCCCGCTGTTTTGCTCAGGCAATTTAAACATATGATAAGGATTGTATGGGGTTGAAGGGTGGCCTGCAAAGATATGTCCATATTCTAGCCTCTGGAACCTGTTAATGGGGCCTAATTTGGAAAAAGGGGTCTTTGCAGATGTAATTAACTTATGGATCTTGAGATGAGACCATCCTAGATTATCTGGGTGAGCCCTACACCCAGTGAAAAGTGTCCTTTCAAGAGACACACAGAGGAGAGAGACACAGGAAAGAGGCGAAGGCCATGTGAAAACAGAGGCAGAGAACGGAGTTGTAAAGCTATGAGCCAAGGAACTCTTGGCAAGGAAGGAGACTCCCCTACAGCCTTTGGAGAAAGCCCGGTCCTGCTGATACCTTGATTTTGGACTTCTGGCCTCTAGAATTGTAAGAAGGTAAATTTCTGTTGTTTTAAGCCATCCAGTTTGTGGTACCTTGCTACGGCAGCCCTAGGAAACTAATGCATGGATTCACAGAGGGTGAAGCTTACTCTTCATCACACACTCAATCACTGCCATCTCAACCAAACTCTTGGAACATTTTCACTTATGCATACAGAGGCCAAGTAACAGAAGCCTTTTGATAAAAAGCAAGAAACTGGCTACTTGGCCACAGCCTTGGTGCAAGAATGGTTTTGTGTAGAAAACATTTTTTTTTTCTCTCAAGCAGAAGGGTCCAGAGGAGAAGATGAGGAAAACGTATTGGTTCACAGGGCACAGTAAGGAGACAACCTCACTCACTATGATCTAGCTTTTATAGATGAAGCCATCAAGATTGTGGCACTGATCCCAAAGAGTCTGACTTTTCAAGTCATTGCTATAATTTAAACTATAATGGAAGAGAATGAACAATTTAAAACAAAATGCTGATGTAGAATGGGAATAAGATCCCTTCCATAAAAAAAAAAAATTCAGTTACTTATGATGGATTAAAAAGGGGGGGAAATTACCTTAGATTTTGAAGTTGGCATAAAAATGATGACAGTTCATATTCAAAAAATTAATTAAGACATATGTTAGAGCAGATTGGAATCATTTCAGTTTTACATTTAGGTTAAATGTAGTATTTTCATATCCTCATTGGCAGTTTATAATATGGCAGTATTTCAGTAAAACAATTCCTTGATTATTTTTCTACCAAGACAACAAGGTAAAAATTGTATCTATACTATATAAAATATATGCATCCAAAAAATTGCTTCCAAAGAGTTTTTAAGCAACTGCTACTCTGGGCCCTCAGAATAAAATACTCGGGGACTCACACTGTACTTCTAGATACCGCTGGGTCTGCAAGTTTCCAGTGACTGCAGGGTGCTCCACCTGACAGATCACTGGGACCCCATCGTCTTCCTTGTGCACCTTCAGCATCAGCTGACTGGTCACAGTGTACATGTCTGACCACTCTTCCACCTCCGATTTGCCTAGAAGACAGAAAATGCATCAAGAAACCAGAGTTGGGTGAAATCTCTATCAATCTGTTTTTACATCCTCCCTTCTTTGCCCCAACCAACCCCCAACATTGCTATTTTAGCAAATATTATGAAAGTCACTTGGGATAAGTTACCCTGTGGATAGACAGCTGACAAAATGATTATTTCCTTTAATTTCCTACATTTCAACCTTGCAGAATAGTGTTTAAGATATATTTCAGCCCCAAATAATATACACTAATTTTACTTAAATCTATTACATATGTTTCTCCTATCTCAAAACCTCCCACAAAAAGTCAGCTGAAAGTTGAACCATTTTGACATCTGGCTGGTTGCTCAAGGTATTCAGGAGGAGGAAAAGAAAAGTGCTTTCAACACTACAACCCTCTGAACTTGACATATCTAGTAGGCTGTCATGCCATTTAAAAATTCCAGGACGGCCTCCAAATCCCCTAAGTAATTCAATCAGCAGTAGAGGTATAAACAACTCCCTTTGCCTACATCCATCATCAACAATTAAGAGGGAAAGTAACCAAATGGATTTACATAATTGAAATTGTAATCGAAATGTTTAACTCCTGAGACTTTTGGAAGACCACAAAAAATGTAGTGGCAGTGGGCTAGAGCACAGTAAGATATAGGGCTCTGGGCCAGATGGGAGACACGTCCAAGAACACGCAGAAAGGGGGGGAAGGAGCCTTCTGGATGGAATGAACAGACCAAGGCAGTCCCTTCCTGAACTCAGAACTCCCAGGAACATGGCAGACCATTAACTTTCTTTTAATGTTTTATACTTATTGGTATGCATTTAATGGCTCAATTCACTTAGACAGAAAAGCAGAGGGGAAATGAGAAACTCCTTCCTTCCAAAACCATACCTAGGAAATAGGAGATTAAAACAGAACAAGCTTTTTGAAACTTAAGCTGTTATATATAGATTTATCTGCTTCCAGATATAGATTTCTATATCGCCTTTCTAAAAGAGCTTATTCTTTTCTCCCTCATGCTCTTTATTTATTTAACAAGCACATATACAGCACTGACCTTGGCCCAGGTGCTAGCTAAATGCTTTGCGAATATTCCCTCATTTCATCTTCATAAGCATCCCTTAAGGTATATAATATTATTATCCCCATTTTAGAGGACACTGAGGAACATAGCTAGCATTTCTGTCAAATAACTAGAGGAGTTTAGCACCTGAGTCCTTTGTTCAGGTTATTACTTGCAGGGCAATTTGAACGGAAAGGAATTTGAAAGCTGAATGTGCGTACATGAGTTTCTTAGGGTAACTGACGAAAAATGCCCAAGTAGGGTATAGGCCGTATCCTTTATCTAATGCAACAGTTGAGGTGGCAGGTAATTGAGGGTCCAGGAATCAAACCTGGGATGGCCCCGTACTGAGAGAGAGACAGTTGGAGCATGGCCAAAGGAGCTGCCTGTACTGCTATCACAAAATTAGAGACTTTGCCGTAGACCAGGTCAGTGAATTGGGCAGGTAAATTGTAAGTTTCACAAGAAAGGTGATCCCTGTAAATTCACCATTAAGATAAAATTCTTACTTAGTCTGCTTAACACATCCACCCTTGTAGGAAAGCATATTATCAACACAGCTGATAGTGCTATAGATATCAGAATGATTTGGAACTCACCATGTGAACGACTATTACACATTTTAAAACATGTATAACATGAGAATTTGGAGTTCTGTCACCACAAAAGACAGGGTAAAAGCAATGAGAATTAGGGTGCAGACACAGATAGCCTGAGCTCAAGGGATACCCCTAACAATAGTCCTTCCTGGCATGAAAAGTTGTAGTTGACAGGTTTAGTTTTTTCTGGGCATCTGAGTAGAGCAACAGATATCACCCTGCACCCTCAAACTACAGAATGAGGATATAAATTAGAACAATGAAATGCTATTATGCTTTGGCCTCAGATGAATTTAGCAATGGGTTATAAACCATACCTAAATGAATCCTTTTGTTTCAGGGGCACATTTTGCATTGTCTTTAATTTCCACAAAGTCGCACCTGCTAGACTCGAGCGCTGACTACCTCTATACAGGGCAACCTGCATCTTACCTTTTAGCTCCTTGTTCCCTTTGAACCATCTGATAGTCGTGGCTGGTTTGCTGGCCATGGCAGTGCAGTTGACTTCAATCTCCTCACCTTCCACCGCAGTGTCTTTCTGGATATCAATCATCAGATTACGTGGTGGGACTACAAATTAAACATATGTTCTTTATAAACACAGAATCCATTTCCAGACACATTCTTCTATTCATTGGAAACTAGTGGAAACCAGCACCATTGCTATCAAAAAGGAGACAAATAATGGACATTCCTCATGGGAATTTAAAACAAACTGCCACAGGAGGGGAAAAAGAAGTGCAAAGTCATCAGCAAATAAAGTGAATTATACAAAATCAGTTAATTTAGAATTGCTCTCCTGTTTGGTGGGTGCAGGCTGACCCTGCAATAGCCCTTCTCCAGTTCCATTGATGCTGGGACATTCTATTGATTTTTAAGCCACATGCTATGATGATGAATAAACTGATTTATTTTCATCCATTACTGAACATTAGGACAAACAAAAAATAAAACAACACAAAACACACATTAAAAAAAATTGCTCTCTTAAATTTATCTTATAAAATGACTAGTCACCCACTCCTAAGTTATCATTGACCAATTTATAATGATAATGATACTAGTTATCAATCAGTTATTAGAAAACTGACTAGGAAATGGATATAAAAGTGGAGTATACACTATTGAAAGTATCATCCTTATCTGTAACCACTGAAAGTAATATTTCTCTTTGAACTCAACCTTTGAATTTCAATCTTTATATGAAATATTCCAAAGTCAACCAACGAGGATCCAAACTTGGGGTCCCTTAAAAGAATTACTCACCGTAAACATACATAGAAACATTACGCCTCAGAAACAGTTTCATTTAATTAAAATGATTCACAGAGATCCAAAATATAATCATGACTTCCAGTGGATGGCGTAGTAATAAAATCCTTTCCATATGACGATGTAGTAATATAGGAAATGCCAATTAGTTTGCAGCAATTTTCCATGTTCTGAATTCCAATGCTCCAGATTTTGGAAGTTAAAAGTGAGAGAGACTCAAGTGCTTGAAAGTAAATTTGTATATTAGAATGAAAATCACCTTTCTGTAAGCATATTAAATATATGTGATAAAGTGGTCAAAATAAAAGATTTGGGGGCTGAAATGCTGAATATCAAATCAAGAGTACGTAGCATGATGGTGATAATGCTGATGAAAGCATGTTTGTATCTTTTATGAAACTGAGTTTACAGTGAAACTTCACATAAGGTGCAACCAAACTCAAGAGTGAGCCTCTTGAAATAGAAATCAGTAAGAATACTGAATTCAGTAGAGTGAATCTAAGAATATGTGTCCTGCCCACCATGAATAAGCAAAGACAGTTCTGAGACTTATGATTAATAAGTTTCTCAACTCAGAAGAGAAACAAGAAATTAAATATGTATAAACATGCCATCCTGATGATCAAGTTGAATAATAAATCTCTGATACTGCTTCAATAAATTATGGGATTAAACCATGTATTTGGGATTTCCAACTGTTCTAGTTCAATGGAAAAATTCTGCCCCTAGGAAGACTTTTACACTGAATTGGAGCAGTTGAAAATTCCTATAAAGAATAATAAAAAAGTAACAGTAAAATGCTTTGTTGCATATATTTCTCAGCATGACAGTGTGTAGTGGTGGTGGGGGGCAGGGAGTGTAACTACTAAAGCGAAAGCATCACTCTTCTTTGTTCCCTGTGTATGAGGAAAACAATGTATTTGCTCAATTGGATGAGTTGCTAATGTGATAAGGCCCCAATGAGTAGTTAAACATGGCAAAGCACTACCCTAGCTTACATTATAAGAAAAATAAGCAAAAAGAGAGATAATTTAACATCCAGTTTGGAGCTGCACATTTGCCAGCATTTAAGAGTCTCAGAAAGGCAGTGACAAAAAGAAATGGGATGACTTCAGCTAACTAGATCCTTAACACAGGTGATCCATGTTAGATGACAGTCAGGTAGGTTACAGATTTTCAGTTCACGTACCTCGATGGTTGACAGAGAACACACAGAGAGACTAGATGTTTAGGACCAACAAATCCTACTGCATTCTGAGTGTAGTATAATAGGAATATTGAAAAAATGCAATTGTTAGATCCAATGTCTGAAAAGAAGACTATCCAAGCCTAAAGAAAATAAGACTTTGTAAGTGATGAGGAGAAGTATAAGAGGAAATAAAAAGAAAATAACAAAGGAGTAAATGTTCTCTTCACAAGTGAAGGAATGGAAGTCAGACAATAATGATTCCTTCAAAGTCCATGCAAAAATACACAGAGTAATGAAAATAAATTTTGATGTTGACATACGTGGCAGTTCTCTGTGAGAACTGTGAGAAATGTAACTGACAAGAGGTGAAGTTAAGGAAGGTGGCCCTCTTAGGACAGGATGAAGAGGACAAAGAGCTGAAGCTACTGGCGATCCTGGAAATCCCTATGGAATGAGGTAGACCAGGTCCCACTTTATCTGTATTACTTGGGAGAAACACCTAGAAAGCCACTCTGTGAAAACCTGGGAGTTTTCTCGATGGGAACATATCCAGGAGCTGCTGAAAGGTTCTGCTATGTACTGCTGTCAAGTTTCATGGAATTCAGCCTCAAACACAGTCTGTCAGATAGTTGTTTTCTGTGTTCCTGGGGATCTTTCCCTCATTCTCTTGTTTTCCACGCTGAGCCTGAAGACACTTTCTCTCACCTTACCCCAGGCTTCTCTTAACTTCCACTACCTGTTCATCTTCAATTGTATTTATTGGTGGAAAGTCTTTATTCCCTCCACTTGGTCACAAAGATGATGGTATGTTTTTTCCACATTATCAATAATGTCTGCTAGTCCAAAGTAAGGAAATGACAAAGGGCAGGTATAGATGAGGACAGAGAAAATTCACCAATGTTTCCTCCAGATTTTGTTTAGGAGCTGAGAGCTTGACTGGCAGGTAGGTCCGTACCAGGATTACTCATTGTTTGGTATTATCCATGTTAATTCCCCCTCTATTACAACAGATATACTCTAAAGTTCTGTGACCCTTCAGAGTGATTCCTGTACCAATGTTAGTTCCTAGGATTATCTTCCTGAAGAGCTGACATCATCTTTAGCTTTATGGCTAAGGTAAAAGTGTGGAAAACTTCAAACACATTGGAAAATATGCCTAGCATAGAAAAATAAAGAACTTATTTATTGTTGAGATCATCATTCCAAGAAATAGTTGAATAACTTTTTTCCAAATCCATAAATAGGTTTCTCAAAATTGTGACCAGTATTTCTGATCTTTGCTAAGATTAGAAGAAGAAATAGGCAAGTATAGTGGGAGTTGTTTGGTTTACAAATATAAAATGAAATCTGGTAATGTGAGTCATGATGGTTTATTGATAACAGTTATAAAATTGACTTCGCTCAGCTTTTTTTTTTTTTTTTTTTTTTTGGGAGAGAGAAAGCTTTGGAAAATATAAATGAGGTGATTTAAGTCTGTCTTTCTGGAAAAAAGATAGTTAGACAAGAAAATCATAAAGTTTATTTTAGCCTATTCAGTCTACCCTGCTTTCTCTTGAACTTCATAATGTCTACTCTGATACAAAAGAGGTTAGTAAAGTGTAAGAACCCATTTATAAGAAAAATGAATAAAAACTGCTGCTAACCAGAGAATACACTTACACATGGTCCAGTAAACAGACACATTTAGTAAAAACTGCCTGCAGCCATTAGTGAATATAACCAAAGCTATTTCTAAGGAGGTTCACATAGATGAAAACCTGAATGAAAATCACATAGAGGGAAATACTAGAAAATAGCAATGAAATGTCAAGGTTCTCCTTAGCTAAGCTCAAATCTATAAGAATGCTAATTATAAACATTACGCCTACAACATTTAAAAAAAAATCAGCAGTATCAAGATGAGTCACATTAATTACAACAAAAGAGGAGTCTTAAAGCTGATCAGTATGTGAAATCTCACTCTAAGACCCTTTAAAATAATTAGGTTCTCCTGTTCCTGGAATCTTAAGAGTGAACACTAATCTTAGAAGGACAGGACTGTAATAATATTAGCTACTATTATCAGTAACTGTATTAATCTTAAAGTAGTGTATTATCTTTCTCATTCATCTCCTCCATGAATAGTAGTATAAAGAGAGTCTTAGACTATATTCTGGAGGAAAAAACAAACTCATCACACGTGGAAGGAGTGAATGAATTATCCCAAAAGGCACCCAAATGCATGCATAATATCACAGGAGAGTTTTTGGTTTTTACATGGAGAATATCATAAACATAATAGTAACTATAGAATAGCACAGATAACATTAACAAATAACCATCTCTATATCTTATAATTATGCTGAATTTTTTGCTGAATGCATCAAATAACTAATAGACACATGCACTAAATTAAGCAACCTAACAAGAAGTTTGACAGCTGTGTAAGTACATATGGAGTGCTTTTCAGAGAACCACAGATAGCAACGAAGATCCTAACGAGTCATTCTTCATTCATTATATCTGAAAATTCTAAACCTTAGGAGAAAGGTTTAAATATATGGATATCGGTGGAAATTGTCACTTTTTGGAATATGAAAGACTCAAACACTGATGACAACAATTTTATTCTGTCAAGGAAACCTAGAGTAAATTCAATGGAAAGAATATTAAATGAATGCATAATATCTGCAAAAAGAACATCTACTACGTTTTTTACTTGAAAGTATTACATTCAAGTATATTTAAGTTAATGCTTCTATAAAATACAAGCAGGAATCTATTACTTCTAGAATAACCAGACCTCCAAAAGGATTACAGGCATAATGCCTCTCAGAAATCTAGTGCTGGTATGCTGACTCCCAAGCACAGGGTATATCCATAGTCAAACTGGTCCCATGCAGTGTGTCTGAGAACGAATGTATCAGACACCAGAAACTGACAGGGTGGAACTGCTTGCCGATGGCCAGATATACTCCTGAAAGCAAAAGATGTGCAACCTTCAGGAAGAAAATCTTGAAACACCAGCATTCAGGATTTCATTGAAAACAACAAAGACTAGAAGACACAAAGGTTGTGAGATAGAATAGTAAGGTCTGTTTCACATTCTAAGATTCTTGATTCTTACTGAGTGCTTTGTAACTGGGGAAAGATGGCTAACCTCTGTTATTATCATTTGTCTTCTGTGAAACTAAGATATCAATACTTAAAGGTATATGTAGTAAAATACTCCAAAAATTCAAGATACCATAAATATACTCCATTTTATTGCTGTTGCTTTCATAGAAATGCTGTAAATGACAGTAGGTCAATGGGTCGATGGGTGGATGGTCAATTTGAAATCTATGCAGCTAATGACTTATTCGAATAAGCGGAGTTTTTAAATACATTTACACAAGAAGATGTAGCAAGTTTTTCTTCAAATGCATGTGTGTAAACTTGGTACATCTGCAAAACACCAAAATAGTCATCACAGCAAAATCTTCCATGCTTACCATTTCTGCAGGTCTAACATGGATTAAAAACCACAATAGTGGCAAATATGAATACCTGAAAACCATCTATTATTAAACATAGGCCACATTAGAAATTATAGGGACAGATTTTAAACACGACTTTCTAAAATCAGTACGCTTCGTATCAAGAGCATATACGTAGGCTTTTAGGGACATGTTTTAGCTTAATGAATAAAAAAAATATTTTCCCTTTTACAGCTGTGTTTAAATAAAGTAATGAAGGAGCAGCTCAATATGTACATCCATAAATACATATATGTGCACACATACGAAGCAAAAATGTCCTTCATATTTATCTTTCCTCTTTAATCTTCATATCATTACACTGAAAAGCTGCAGCCCGACGCCTCAAATAGACTTTGATTCATCATCTTCCAGAAGGTGTAAATCAGAGATTTTGCCTCACGCTATAGTGTATGTCCTTGAAAATTCAGTTTCAAAAATCCAAAGCAGCTGGTGTTATGCACTGGAGTATATGTTTGTCTGAAAGGTGACTAACTCAGACTGCCTTTAGCATAGGAATATCTGCTGACTACGTGAAAATATAAACATGGAAACCTGGCTGCTTGGATTTTGCTGAAAATCACAATCCGGTGATCATAAATAAAGATACTCAACTCACTAGAGGTGTACCTAGCAGCCTGTCAACAGTTCTTTGCTTATTATCAGTTAAGGAGCTCTTAACTCTTTTATGTCCAGTGGTTGCAATTTGTGGCAAAGTATGTGTTCATTGGGAATGATTTTTCACAGCATAATCTAGACTATAAGCAGTAAACAAGGCAATAAGTAAAACCAAAGGAAAGGAGATCAACAATATTAAAACGAGAATGGAACTTTGAAGGGAAAATCATTACATGGATTTCATAACAGAGCTCTGCTACAGGGTACAGATGTGTAGCCCATCTCCCCCTCTCCTGTACAGAAGGAAAAAATAATCCAGGTAGTTAGAACCAATGACATTTCATGTGCTGAGTGATTCATTTGAAGGCTCTAAATTCTCTTGATCTTTGCTTCTGACGCTTGAGGTTTAAAACCCAAGAGCAGGTGGAATCTATAAAGACTGCTGATTGCCATTCCTCAGAGCATTTGGTAAAATAGGCTATTTTTAAAATTCAGCTAGATGGGTGGTGATTCTTCCTAAAACAAGTTTGGACAGTAAAATTCACTATTAACCTTTTCCTTGCTGCTGGCAGCCATCCGGTAGTAAGGGCCATCCCAATTCATTTCCCAAGACAAGCTCCACATGCATTTCTTACCCAGGACTGTGATAGTGGTGTAACTTTCCTGTGGGGGATCAGTGTAGAGCTGGCAAAAGTATCTTCCTTCATCAGAAATCGAGACGTTCGTCAACGACACTTTCAGTTCACTGCTAGAAAAATTCAGCAACTGAAACCTGCTGTCCTTCAAAGCTGTGAAACAAAACACAGAGTCAGTAATTGCGAGAAAGACGAAGGACAGCCTATTTTCCTTAACTAGGTGAGGAAAAAGTCAGATAACTAGAAAGGCAGCTGCAGAGCAGAGACAAATTATTGTCTTTCTGTACCTGTTGGGTACTCCTTTGTACTTCTTGAATTACTATTTTGCAGGTAGACAAATCACCCTGTCCAAAGGAAACACATGCACACGGGTGTCTGTGTGAGTGTACACACACACACACACACACACACACACCCACCCCCTTGGCACAATTCCAAGGGCTGTCAGTCGTCAGCATTTATTCATAATAAATTGTTTCAGGTTTTCTATTAGAGCTAGGCAAAAGGAAAACGCAAGGAAAGGGTAGGTCATGAGTCCCCTGATGCAGGGTAACAGGCCCTTCTTAGCTCTGGGACGCTGGAAATTCAGGAACGAGGGCCTACAGGTTTTTAAATGCAAGGAAAGGGTAGGTCATGAGTCCCCTGATGCAGGGTGACAGGCCCTTCTTAGCTCTGGGACGCTGGAAATTCAGGAACGAGGGCCTACAGGTTTTTAAAGTGCCTCTAAAAACCTGAGCCCTTAAGAAAATAGTGGTTCCAAATTATGAAGAGAACTAAAAAATCATTAATAATAATTTCAAAAGCAAAATTAAAAGTCACTTTAAAAACTTTATAGCAAAATAATCCAAGTTAATAAAAAATTGATATGGACGCATTTTAACATATTCGCTATAACTTGAGGTGGAACTGCCGAAATATATGACCTCAGACCTTAGAGGCCATAAGCTGGTCCTGCAGTTTTCTAACTGTGTTCAGCTTCACAGTAGGAAACTGATTAGGCATCAAGCAGAAAATCAGAATCACTGCAAAAGCAATGTATGTGTGCTTCTATATTTCAAATGCTTTCTTTTAAAGTCCTATTAATTTTGGCAAAGGCTAGCTTAGCATATAATGACAAAAATTCACTTTAAGAATAAGAAGCTTGCCTCTCTCCTTTTATCCTCCCACATCCTGTTAAATGATCCTTAGGTTTATCAACTCTTTACACAGGTGATGTATGTTCCGAGGTTCTGGGCAGGAAAGGCGACAGGCAGCCAGAAGGAAGACGCTCGACGTTCACTTTGGCTAGTCACCAACGTGCTCATGTAACAATCTTTCGAAAGACTTGATTCTTGCTCTTGCCAAGCCCTGACACTCATTTGAACCATTTCTACTATTCACAATTTAGTTTCAATTATTAGCTTTTGTTATATTACATTTAGAAAGATTTCAACAATATGGGTATCTCAACATACCAGAGGCAATTGTGAGAGGAGATTTGGTTTTGTCTGATAGGCAGAGATTGCCTTGGAAACTTCAGTCTTCAAACCAAACAGATTACCTTTCAGAATGTTATATTTTCCTTGCCTTACCCTGTTTGAGTTGTTTGTGTCAGCCAAGTATTTAGGACTCGATTGCAATTCACCTTGAATTACTACAATCAATTCCTACTGCAAAGTAAGACTGTCGTACTTTTAAGAGGCACCATTCAAGGTTTCTATTAAGTAGAAAGATTATGATTGCCTGTCTCTTCTTTAAAGAATTTACTAAACTTTAAGCATCTAAAATTAAGTTAAAAAAAAGGTGGCCTTAGGATCTCTTTACCAAGAAAATATGTAGGATAAAAACTTGCCATCTAATACTATAGAGATGGAAACTTACGTCTGAAGTCCCTGAAATAAATGGTCTGCCTGTTGGGATTCAGTAGCTGAATCACAGAGTCATCACTCTTATTGACTTGGCAGCTGATAGTTGCAACTTCTCCTTCGATCACTGTCACGTCCTTTGTAAACAAATTCTGTCCATCACCTTAAAAAAGGGGGAGGGGAGAAAAAGGTCAGAAAAAAATTTCCATCAATTAAAATTTGGTCAGTGGAAACAATTAGAATGAGAAATAAGAAGCATATTAGAATATGAACACAAGTAATGAATGGCATTTGGTATGGCTCTAATACCTTCATCCATAGTCCACAAAACAAGTCTATTAATCTGACATAGATCTAGGGACAAAATACAACATATCCGGAATTGACATGATCTCAAAAACTGTGATGCCAAGGTTCCAGCCTCCAGGATTCTGTACTAGCTGAGTTGTATATTGGGGTATTGGAAAAGTCAGAGTACTGGCTTTTGTGAGGAGCTGAAGCTCTCACAAATGGAGTAGGGAAGACACATGCAGTCAACCTTAGCTCACATGCCCTTGAGCTAAAACCTTAGTTCACATGCCCTTGAGCTAAGCTATTTGGTCACCTCACAGAAAACTCAAGAGGCTACTTAATAGAAGTAGGTAGGAGGGTGCAATAAATATTCTCATCTTGTTAGTGGATGTTGACATTCCCAATGTACCGGGCGGTTCAGTTATTCATTGTGTGGGAGTGAGGACCTAACAGACTATGACTCCCTGGGATCTCCATAAAATCTCAGTAAGACTTACAGTTCAGACTTTGTTACTCTTCTCTCAGAAACTCACACCTTCACGACTCACCCATAGCCCCAGGCAGCCCTGAACCAATGCCCATTTCTGCAGATCTCTCCCTCTATCTAGTTAGAAAATCTCTTTCAGAACATGTCAAAAAGTCAAGGCTTTCAGATCCACTGATATAGGCTTATTTCCAGATCTGCTCTAGTGTGTTGCTTCTTAGATTAGTGACAGCAGTCAGGCGACCTCATAAATGTCCTAAATGATCCACAGCTCAGGTAGGAGGAGAGGAGAGTTCAATTCAGAAGCAAAGGATGAAGCAATTGTCTAGTGTTCAATTCTGCACCTGGCATAGCAGGGGATATAGAAGTATATGACATTGTCCTAGACTTCACAAAGCTGCGAGGTAGATAAAAACTGATACCTAATCCTTACTTGCAGAACCAAAAGTGTGGTATAGGCAGTAGATGAAATGGCCAATCAGGACGGGGAGAGAGAGATTGCTTTTTAGCAGTGTGATCTCAGAAAAATTACTTAAAGTCCCTGAGCCAGTTTCCCATCTGCAAAATGGGGATAGTGATTAAAAGCTATATCACAGAGCTGTTGGGGGGATTAAGAAAGATATTAAATATAAAGCATTCTGTACTGTGTCTAGCTTCTCTCAAAACTGAGTAAACAGTAGCTGCTGCTATCATCATCATCATCATCATCATCATCATCATCATCATCATCATTTCTCTAGTTGTCAAATCCAAAGATTTATTAAGCCATTATTATGTGTTGGGAGTAAGAGTGAAGGCTTACGGTTCTTGCTCTTAAGGAGTGCTCTGTGTAGCTGTTATATATCAATTCAGGGTGGCTTATTCACTCCCTAACAAAACGGTGTCATGTTAAGCAACAAAGGTCAAAGATCTAAAAAAATAAAAAGAAAAAGAATGAGACAGCATGAATAGAGACACAATTAGAATAAATGGAGGATTTCCACCTGCTATCGTATTTCTGCTGAAGGATCCTATTTCTGTCAGGACACAGTGGGAAAGTGTGAGAAGGGGTGTCTAAGATGGCTTTAAGCCAAATCCACCTAGAAATAGACCAGCCCCTGGCAGAAGATTAGAAGAGAGGAAACCAGAAGGATAAGGAAAAAAATTATTAGAGACACAGATAAACAAAAATTCTTGGTGCTTGAGGAGCAAACCAAAATGAAACTCGACCTTGAGCTCTATGATCCAGGGAATTAACCCGGGTGTGATCATGTGGGCCCACAGGGCTTGTCGTGAGTGAGAGGGTAAATTTTCCCTAGCTTGATCCAGCAGTGGAAGCTTAGTGGGCTGAACAGTGTTAGAGAATAACAACAAAGAGAAAAAGTCATCAGAAAAAATGGAAAGGATGCTGATTTTTTTCCTTAGTGGATTACTGTGACAAACACAGTCAGAACCCAGCTAGAGGGAACAGTTTATTCCTAGATTCAAGAAAAGAACAAGGAGAAGGGAATTCCTTCCATCAACCAGGCTTTTCAAGGTGGTTTTGCTGGTCCTGGCAAAAGTGTACACAAAAAGGACAACACCCTTCTATCCCAGGGTAACCCAATGTAGTAAGAAAATTAAGGAAAAATTCAACTGCATGATTCAAGTGCTTTAACTGTCTTAAGTCATGGAACCTGCCTTGAAGAGTCCAGAATACCACAAAGAGTCTCACTGGGCTGTAGAATGGATTTTTTTCTATCTAAAGGAAGTATTAGCAATGCAAACAAGAATCTTCAACTTACAAAAGGTACATGTGGAAAGGCTGCCTGGTGATAGGCATTAATCCCTTCAACATAGACCAAGGCCTTACAGATCCTGACTACTATCTTGTAGCTACTAGGACTTAAAGCCAGTTGTAAATCCATTATGCTTTAATAGAATAGTTCCCATGTAAATAACTATACAGTTTAATTTTAGCTCTTTATTTAAAATCCAAAGACTAGTATATTCTGATAGTAGTATACTATATTCATATTAAGGCTATAAAACACTCATATAGGAGATGGGAGCAGAATTGACCATGACTTTGTGTTTTAAGCACTAAGAGTAATAAAACAGAATCACAATTTCTTGTTTATTGGTTTTTAGAAAAAGTCTAAACATTCTTAATCATTACTTATAATTAAGTAATGTTAAGACTACACCATTTTAATGTGTCATTATTGGGCAAATCATTCAGGTAAAATTTTGCCATCTGCAAATTTTTGCCCTTGCTGTGCTCTGGCACATAATGTGCTCTGCAAATCCAAGGTGGTGGCATCATCATCATTACTGTATTATTTTTTGAAATTGCTAAGGCCAATCTAAAATGCAGTGTCTCAGAAAATGCCAGTTCCTAGCTGTGTTAACATGGTTATAATACAAATGCTAAAAAATTAGAAGTGATAATGAAATATTTTGCTGAAAGATATCAAAGTGCCTTGGCTGATGGTGGTGGCCCAAGGATGTCACTGTAAAAATTACCAAGAAATTATACAGGTCAGTTGGACAGCAGTTATATTAAACAGAGCTCCATACTTTGAGGCACGTAAGATGGCTGCAATGGAATAATAATGACCTATTTATTTGAGGCAAAGGGAGTGAATGACAGTGATGAAAATATGGTATGTATGTCAGTACTCTTAACTGCCTGAAGCCTTTATGTAAAAATAATTTCTGCTCACATCCTCAAATATTTCTCCCAAACAGAAGGGTGCACTGTGACTTGATAAATTTCTGCTTGAAATAGATATCACGACAATTATGTTCTTACAAAACATAATTTGATGTGTAGCAAAAGGACACAAATAGGAAACTTTGGTGCCTTTCTTTAAACCTTTCTGATTTTCTAAAACTTTAGAAACTTTAAATCCATCTTTAAAACCTTTCTGATTTTCTAAAACTCAATTAGCAGATATACTGTCAAGGCAGAAATAGCACATGTTCTGGGCAAAAAAAAATTTTTTTAAATCAAATAGGTACAATATACTGTAGCCATTAAATAAGGCTGTTAACAGCAAGGCAATTTATTTTAAGGATGGAACAATGTCTGGCATGTATAGACATTTCTGACTGCTAATTGGTATAAATGGGAGAGGTTTAGGACAGAGAATCAAACTGGATTTTAATTTATACCAGCAACTGTACTCCCTATAACATCCTGATTTGCCCCACAATTTCTAAAAAGAAAACTCTGGCATTGGAAAGGTTCACACACTAACAAGCAAGTCTCCTGCAGTAAACTAGAAGATGCTTAGGACATTCATCACAATGAAGAGAAAGCTTATCTAAAAAAAGATAAAATTTATTTTGATGATTAGTAATGACCATTACAGCTGAGGTGGTTAGAGCTGGAGTGAGCAGGAGTAGAAGTGGGGTACAGCTGGCACATAAATCCCCTATTCATTCAATCTTCAATTAACACAGCTCATGGATTCTTTCCTAAAACTTCATTTTGTCTGTCCATTTCAGTGGCATTACATGAAATACTAGCATTGACTGGAATCTATTCAATAAACAACATGGCCACCTTGGGGAGGTAGGTGATGGGCCAATCTCTACGCAAGGACCTGAAACAAGGAATGGGGACGAGAACAAATGTTCAGCCAATGTCAGGCACTGGGCAAGCTGCTGGACACACTCGTCTCTCCCAAACTCCTGGAGTCTCCAATATCCACATTTTAAAGATTAAAAACCTGAGACTCAGAAAGATTGAATAAGGTGCCTGGTAATTCAGCTTAGTGGCCAAGCCAGTGTTTGAACCCAGATCTGTTAGTCTCCAGCCCATACAACTCGCCCTCTTCACCAGCCAGCAGCAGGTTATATTGGCTGTCTTGGAAAATTTACTTGACTTTAAAGAGGGTTATTTCCCTATGAGCAACTTTTGATTTTTTTATTTCCATAATTTACCCAGAACACAATTACACACTTTAAGATGAGAGAGAAACTGTCCTGAATGTAAAACACCTTGTTTACTACTGCTTCCTTCTTTCAGTGCTCAACACACTGTGCCCCTGGAGAAAGCCTGTATTACCAGTGCATGGCGGGCATTTGCCAGCACTGAAAGCTCTCGCCCCCGCTGCCTGGCTGTTAATAAATAAAGCACTTCATTTACACTGGGGGAGTCTCTCCAGTCAAGTCTATAATAAAAGGGCAAGTCATAGTTAAAGCAGAATTCAGTTTATACTATGGCAACTATGTAAACTCTTACTGACACTGAGAAGCACCAATGACTTAACTGGGAAGACAGTTTGCCCAAAGAAAGAGTAAATACAGTCCCTTGACCTATTCCCCTTCAGTAACAAAATCATATTAAGGGAATTTTTTTTTTCTTCTGCTCTGTGAAAGACTGAAGACCTGACATTAAATCAGCACAGTCACGTTA